CTCATCCGGGTTTCATTCATTCTATGGTTAATCATGCTTTACGCACTCATGAAGTTGATACAATTATTAAAATGGGATTTTTCATTCAAGATTTACATGAAGAAATTAATAAACTTCATATAAAGCAAACGAATGATCAAGACAACCAATCATTTATTGTTTATCGTGGACAAGGTTTATCCAAGGAAGAATTTGAAAAATTGTTAAAAGCAAAAGGAGGACTTATGTCATTCAATAGTTTTTTATCAACTAGTAAAAATCGAGAAGTATCTTTAGAATTTTCACAAGATGCTTTAAATCATCGTGACTTAGTGGGTGTTCTCTTCAAAATGGTTATTGATCCATCGGAGTTAGCAACTCCTTATGCATTTCTTGATGATGATAGCTATTTTAAAAGTGAAGAAGAAGTTCTCTTTTCAATGCATACTGTTTTTCGTATTGGTGAAATTAAACAAATTCAAAAAAATAATCGTCTTCATCAAGTTATACTTACATTAACTAATAGTCGAAATAAACAACTAAGTGCTCTTACTGAATTACTTCGAGATGAAACTCGAGGATCAACAGGATGGCATCGATTGGGTATGTTATTAATTAAATTAGGCAAGTTTGACAAGGCCGAACAAGTTTATAGAGCATTATTTGGTCTAAATACTGATGAAAACGAAAAAGCATTACTTTATCATCAACTTGGATTAATCAAACGTAATCAAGGTGACTATGAAGAAGCGCTTTCATCTTATAAACAAGCCCTTGATATTTATCAAAAAAGTCGATCGTCAGATGATCTTGATTTAGCAACCACATATAATAATATTGGTCAAGTATATAATAATATGGGAAACTATCCAGAAGCACTTTCCTATTATGAAAAGTCGCTTGAAATCTATCAACATAGTTTACCTGACGATCATTCTTCTTTAGCTATATCATATAATAACATTGGTTTAGTACATAAAAATATGGGCCATTATGATGAAGCTCTTAAATCGCACGAGAAAGCACTTGAAATCGAACAAAGAACTCTTCCTCTAAATCATCCATCTTTAGCTACTTCTTACAAAAACATTGGCTTGGTGTATAATAACATGGGCGAATATTCAAAAGCACTTTCATTTCATGAAAAAGCACTTGAAATTGAGCAAAAAACATTACCTTCAAATCATCCTTCTTTGGCTATATCATATAATAATATTGGCTTGCTTTATGATAATATAGGAGAATATTTAAAATCACTATCATTTTATGAAAAAACACTCGAAATTTATCAAGAATATCTTCCTCAAAACCATCCTGATTTTGCTATGTGTTACAATAATATTGGTTCTGTATATAAAAATATGGGTGAATATTCAAAAGCACTTTTGTTTTATAAGAAGACATTGGATATTGAACAGAAATCACTTACACCAAATCATCCTTCGTTGGCTATTTCTTACAGTAATATTGGAATGGTATATGACTGTTTAGAACAACATTCGGACGCACTTTCTTCACATCAAAAAGCACTTGGAATTTGTGAAAAAACACTTCCACCAGGACATCCTATATTAGCTGTTGCATATAACAATTTTGGTTCAGTACATGACAATATGGGTAATTACAAAATTGCTCTTGATTATTATAAAAAAACACTTGAAATCGAACAAAAAGTTCTTCCTCCCAATCATCCCGATTTGGCTACGTCTTATAATAATATTGGATTAGTACATGATAAATTAGGAGATTATTCGGAAGCACTTTCTTCTCATGAAAAAGCACTTGAAATTTATCAAAAAGCTCTTCCACCAAATCATCCAAATCTAGCAAATTCATACAATAATATTGGTTTAGTTTGTCAAAAAAAGCAAGAATATTCGAAAGCACTTTCATTTTATGAAAAAGCACTTGAAATTCGTCGAAAGATTTTGCCTCCAAATCATCTTGATTTGATTACTTGTTATGGCAACATCAGTCAACTATATGAAATCATAGGTGAACATGCAATGGCATTGTCATTTTATGAACAACTAGTTCAAGCTAAAGAAAAAACTACTTTGCAAAATCATTCAACTTCGACAAATACTTATAGCAATATCGACCGAATCACTGATAAAAAGGAAGAACCTTTGCAAACATCTTCGCCATCCAAATTCATTAGAATAAATAAACAAGTGCCATTAAACGGAAAACTACCTCATCGAACAAGTTTTCGAAAAAATATTAAAATCGATAAGAAAGTAAATGTAATTTGTAATTGTGAATAAAATTTCCATCAACTTTGATTTTATTTCATATACTTATTTTTGAAGTCTATATATATTCGTTTAAAACTTATTGGTACTATTTCAGTAGGATTATCTGTGAAATATTATGAAGATGCTTACGTTGTAAGTAAGGAAAGTTGCTAATATAAGTTTGAGCTCATCGAATACTTTCTATTATGAATACATCTCAAGAATGCAAGATGTTATACTCATAATAACTTATAGTGATTATGAAAGAAGACAAAAGGTAGACATTTAGAATTCATGTGTATTTTCACACTGGTCTTGCAGTAGACTTCAGTTCCATAGATATGTCTGTTATGGTCACTAGTAACCTCAAGTAGCGTTGCAAAGATAGACATTGAAGTGAAAAAGTAACGAACTGAGATTGAAAATGACGATGAAAGCACTTACTCGTAAAGAGAGTGAGTGCATGTTTAGTCAATTAATACATGACCTTGTTATCTAAGGTTCTATGATTGTGTCACAACTTGTGACTAATAGTACCAAGTTGAAATTCCCAAGTTTAAAGTATAAATCAATTCATTCAAACAATCAGTTCAATAAGTTAATATTTCTAAGCTGGTATTGATCAAATAACATGCTATCATCCTTTTTCCATTATATTTGAAACAAATAGCTATTCATTTCTGATAAATGATTGTGAGTTACTTGAAATTAATAAAATAAAGTATTCAATAGCGTTAATAATTGCTAACTGATTCTGCACATTCAAATAATGAGTATGCATAAAAACTAAGTATGATAAATATAACTTATATATTGAAGATCGTCATTTAATTGCACAAATCACGAATTATACATTGAGCATATATAAATCAACATTCTAATGCCATCATGTAAAACACGACTATTATAACTTGTGAATCAGAATAAATTGTATACTTAGTATTTTTTTCGGTAAATCTCTCAGCTTTTATCTCTCTACAGAAACATGTATCTCTTTGATGTAAATAATTTCTATTATTTGTTGACAAACATGAAAAAAAAATTTAATACAACTGATAAAACTTTCTAAGACAATTTTTTCTCTCGTTGTTTTAACAGCATGTTTTAGTTCTTGAATTAATGTCCACTTTGTTTTAACTTTGTTCCAATTTATTTGATGAACGAACTGATTCCATATTGAGTAACTCAAGGAATCGATATCAGGTGAATTTGAAGGCTAATGATATTTGTTGTTAAAAGTAGACAAATTATCATGGCACGAATATTGAATTAAATGATGTATATGTTGAAATGTCCGATCATCATCAAACATCTTAGTTTCATATATAAAGACTACTGCCAACATCTTTTTCATGTAACGATCATCATCGACTGAGGTTTCTTCGAAAATAATCAACGGTACGACAACTTTCGAATAGACTTCTAACCGAACCTTGACTTTTTATGGTAATTTTGGTTTTTATTTAATGGTACCATTCTTGTCAGCTTCATCACGATTAACTGTTCATCTAGAGTCTTTTTGAGTATTGTATATGCCATCTAAATCAAATATTACTTCATCTGAAAAAATGGTTTTTAGTATTTGTTCTTTACGAAAACTCTTTCGTATCCAATTTGCGAATTTAGTTCTTTTGACAGTTTGAGCCTCAGTAATTAATGGCTCAATTCTTTTCTTATACGCCTGCAATCCCACATCATTTTTAAGTATTCGTTGAATACTTGTTTTTGAAATATTGAGTTCACTGGCCAATTTCAAAATAATCCTAGTGCTTTATGTTTCATTCGATTTTTTTATTTTTAGAATGTTTTTCTTTGTTTGAATTAATCTTAAAAAACTCGATGTACATGTTAATTCGATAGAGTCCGTCTCTCTGATCATTTTACATCATTGATTTATTAGATGAAACTTAACCGCACTTTTCATGGTTTAGAAATAAACTCAAACCATATAAAACAAAACAAAGTACAGAATGTTGTACAGAACTTCAAGTTGAGTCTTAAAAAAATTGTGTTAGACAAAATAAATAATAGAACTATAGCGCAAATTGTAAGTATATCGTTTATTCTGAGTCACCCAGTATTTTAGAATATACAGCCGAAAGAAGCATAAACATCTATTAGATGTTGATCAATTCGAAAAATATTTCCTCTGAGAGAATACATGGAAAAATTGTGTATGAAAACGACAAATACATTGAAATTGCTCTCATAAGATGGACATCAACATTCTTATACTCATATTTGCTGAGTTGAAATACCAAAGTTTTATCTTCACACATGAAATCTTGATAAGTGTCTCCCTCTATATATATACTCAAGTAAAATCCATAAAAGTCGTTAGGAAGAGCAAGAAAAGACCCATTTCATACATTGCATTGCATTGGATAACAAATCATGTGTCAGAAAGACACAACAGGACAAAGTAGAGTTACAAAAATAGGACACACAATCAATAGAAAACAGTAACAATAGCGATGAAGAAAATATTAAGCTATTTTTAGAAAAATAAATTCAATGTTATCGCTAGTCACTAATGAATTGGTGTTTTTGGAAAATTACTTTTATGTTGGTTAGAATGAAAGCATTTAAGAAAATTTGATTCAGTTCAAAAAAAAAAACAAATTATACCAAGAATATCATCGTCTTTTTTTATCCTTCGATCGAATCTTTACATTAATTTTCATATGTAAAATGTTTATCGAAAAACAAAAATGAGATGATATCTTATCAAATATTTTTGCTTGTTGCTAATTATACTTAGTTCGTTTTTTAGAATCAATTTTAATGTCTAGTACATCTGTTAGTTTACGAGAAGCTGACGAAGCTTTACGTGAAGAAAATTTTAGTCAGGCTCATGCAGTATGTATGTTCTTTCTTCATAAGTATCAAATATATTTATGTTAATTTTTATTTAGCTTTATGAACACATATTGGCTGCCTATGCACATGAGCTTAATAATGATTCCAGGTCGTCAATTATGGCAGCGATGGCAAAATGTAGCAATCAAATGAATAACTTTGATCGTAAGTTTTTCAATTGAATCAAAGTTAGAAGACAAATAGTATTTATTTTTATGCGATATGAGGAGAATCAGTAATGAACAGATTAGACAGAATGGAACCAACTCTATTACGAATCTCTGAAGTTCTGTTCATTTGTATCTAAACAAATTTTCAGTCAACACATATTGATAGTCTCATTGTATTCTTAAATCATCAATAAACGATTCTAAAAAAATGCAAGAAGACAATATTTACTCAAAATCAGTAAAATGGTCATTACATTATAATTCCTTTATGCATATTGAAGTAATTTTTCGTCAGATAATTGCTCTAATTCAGCTCTACAAAATGACATAGTTCAATCAACTACTTATATATAGGTTTGTCATAGATAATACCAATTTACTGAGAGAGAGGTCGATACTTTTTGGGATACTCTTTATTACAAATGATAAGTATAATAGTTAAGCATGAGATAGAAAACAAGGCGAAAAATAGTAGATAATAAACGAACTGGTTGTTCGATCAATAATCGTATAAAGCTCTTTTTCATGCGACTTTCATTATACTGAATGTTATATTCATGATGATTTGTCATCTCGCTTTAGGTGCAGTCAAGGAAGCTACATCTGCTCTTTCCAACGACTCAACATGCGTTACTGCATTAAAGCAACGTGCAACAGCCTATTACAGATTAAATTATCATGACAAAGCAGAAATTGATATTCTGGACGCACTTGCACTATCACGTAAGCAATCTTTTTTTCTTGCTTTTTAATAAAAGTAGCTATTTTATTTTATTCTCTTAGCATCTGATACTGAGCTTTTACTATTGGCCAATCAATTCAAAAAAGAAGACGTGAAAGGTCTTGGTACGTGTATATATTTTTTTTTTATAAACAAGCATATGTCCAATGTAAAAGGAGGATTATTAAGTCTTTACGATCTGTTTTTTTTTCTTCATTGAAAATGGTTAGTTAAAAATACCATCAAAATCATTATAGATGTTTCAATAAAAGTCATTATAATTCATAGCATCAAATTTTAACATGTAACTAAACTACCATTTGAGGTTAATTCATGAGTTCCAGTTTGAAGATGTTGACGTCAGTCCTAATATTGGTTTTTCATATTTTCTAGAACTCATTGTTCATCACCGAAAGAACATCATTTCTAACTTTTTTTGAGATAAAAGGTTTCAAATTAGCCTTATTTTCATCTATATAAGAAACAAGTTGTGGTCAAAATTTGAAAAAATATTAAATCGTCGATATAAAACAGTTTCTCATTCTTACCTAGCTGTTCTTATTTTCATTGAACCTATGGAAAAGCTAGTGAAAATTCAAGTATATGATTTTTGTAGACTTGTATTCAAATAGTATTGAATTTACCGACGTCTATCTTTCTGTTCTGTACGCAAAGACTACAACTTCGAGTTATTTATTCTAGGTTAATTCCGTTTCGAAAAATAATAACAATCGAACCTCACATTTGAGAAAAACCAGTATACAGGTCATGCAAAACCGTGTAACGAAAAGTAGGATCTTTAAACAGAAAGTTTTTTGATTAAACTACTCCATTAAGGGATTAAGAGGACACCAAAATATATTATTTATTAAATAAATACTACATTTCCATACCTCATATTCATCTGACACAATTGTTTATTATTGTTCATCTCATGTTCATTAACAGGATCTTTTTGGAACAAACTAACAAGCTGGTGGCCTTATAATATTGTCGGTCAAAAGAAAGATTAGTTCATATTGCAGAACGAAGTATATGAAATCCGTATACACTTTGTATTTCATCATATTTTATACGGAACCATGCAATACGACAAAATACGACGATCTATGGTCCTTAATCAGTATGCTTGTTTGACCTGAGATAATATCAAGTTTGTATAGTAGCTTGTGATTAGTTGTAACAAATCTGTTTCTAATAAAAAGGATCTATTGCTCATGCTTATTACTTATTATTGTTTGTGCCCAGAATGCTTTGAACTTTACTTCTATTATTTACAATGCATGTTGTTGATTTTCATCATCAAATTATTTGATTGTTATGTATTCTATAGGAATCGAGTTATCTATGTAGGTCATAACATATTGTAGTTGATGTTATACGTTTCCTTCTATGCTGAAAAGAAGTGAAGTAGTCTCACAATCAGGAGCAAAGCGATGTATTCATTTTGACTAATACTGGTCTATGAAAAACGTGTTGCTCGATGATACACCATTTGTTTAAAAAATTTTAATTTTTCAGTAGATTTTGAAACGACTATGATTCTCTAATAGGTATTTCAATATATCTCGAGTTCAATAGGATAGAGCAATTCATTCACTAAAACATTTAATTAGCATAAAGCAAAGTAATAGAAACTGTCTCATTCTCATCATTACTTTAAGTTTACTTCGATTTGTACTGATGAGTGCTAATATATATTTCTGTTAGACGTCAAAATAAAAGTCTTTTTCTTACATTTCCATGAACAATATTGCTTATTGTATCAACTCTGTAAGAAGAGAGTTCAACAAATATTAGTATAGTTTTATGAAAATTTGACTTTTCATGAATATTTTCTTGTGAAAGTCTGATTGCGTTCTCTGGTTAGATTTTTAATGTGCCAGCGAAAAACATGGACTAAATAATTTATTTGTTTCTCTCAATCAGTTTAAACTAACTGACAGAAATATCAAATAATAAATATTATGATTAATTAACTACGAACATATTTCTTTTCCAAGATCAACGAAGTCTGATAAAAGAGAAAATATTGCCAACGATGAAGAACAGCTTCTTCTCTTAAATAAAATCGATTGAAAATAATATTAAAATATTTATTGAACTTGCTTGATCTAAAGCATCTCAATTAGGTGTCTACTAATTATCATTTCATATAATAGAGAAAGCATATTTTATTTTCCTTATCTTGTATGTCTTTCAATAAAATCATACAAAAAAGTACGGAAGCCTCTTTTAAAACTTAGTTTCTTGTAATAGATAATTTATTATACTCTCTTGTTGACTATTTCTTAATTAAAACATAAAGATTCAAAATCGGTTTTTTATATCATGTGTTCCAATGATTTGTACGAACTGTAATGTAAATATCAAACGTTTAGCTTATCTAAAAAAAGTTAATAATTGAAAAATGATTCTTAATGTCTCAACGATTTAGTGTCTCATATCTTTTCCGAACTATGAAATCTAAAAAAAACTAACTAATAGGAAAACAGTTCTATGAGGTTTCTAAATTCAAGATTACAATGAAGATACCTTGAAATCTGTAAAAATCATATTACTTCATCACTATTTTCTCTTATAAAAATAAAATAGACAAACTCCTAATGAACATTAACAATCTTTTGGGGTTTCACATACACTGAAAATTAAAGAATGGATTGCAAAGGGACTTCTTTTTAGAACTCAAAGTACTTTTTTTTTATCTAATAATGCACTTTTAGATGCAATCATACCTTATTTTTCGAATTGTTTTTGATAAATAGTATCATAGACAAAAAAAAATCATCTGTACGCTCTAAAAGCTCAAACATAACGACTGCAATCCAATCTAATTTTTGTTTCTCTTTCGATAGTTAATGATAGTATCTGTAAAAAAAAAATCTGAATAAAAGTTTCTTGTTCAAAGTACGAATGAAAATTAAAAGAAAAACATAATTATGAGAGATCAAGTGTTTATAGTTGCATGTTTGTGTCACAATATTGACTGATGAAACACTTATAAAGTGAGAGTCAATGACAAATTCAACTTTTTGTTTTTATTTCGTTGAGATCAAAATCTTGTTCAGTTCATCGTTTTAAATATTGGTTGGTTCTGTATCTCTGTTGTAGAACTATAAAGATTTCCCCATAGAATGCATTGATAATTGTACAATTTACAAATGTTCAAGAATAGGGAAACTAACACCAAAATTCTTTTAAAGCAAGATATAGATGTTAGTTCAAAAAACTAAATTGAAAAAGATTCTAGCTTGAATAAAAATACACTAGCATAAATTGTTTGTTGACGTATCATGTGAGCTTAAATATTTTCACAGCTATATTTATTCAAGACTGTACGACTCAATCAACTTGTCAGATTTTGACTCCTATGCTTTTTCTACTTGGCACTACAGTTTGATATTTTGCGCTATGAACATTTAGTCATTTGCCATCTCGAGCACAAACAAACTTGATCAAATATCAACCACTTACATCCTGCTTAATCGCAAGTTACTGGCTTTGCTTTCAAAGCTTTTTCTTCCGTTATCTGAAGACTTTTACACTTTTCTATGATATATTTAACTTTTTCGTACATGTAATACGGACAGCAAATAGATTTTTAGGTTTTTCTTTCAGAACATTGATCTTGATTAGTTCAGTATTTCTCATCTAATTTTATTAATATCTCAATTATTTCGTTATTTCTAGCATTCACGTGAACTTGATATCTAATATTTATTTAATCATTTTAATTAGTATCTTAAAAAAATATTTATTTCAATGCCAATGCTTGGATTTTTTTTGAAATGTAAATGATAAAGATATTGAGAAATCAATGAATTCAATATATGATGCTCAAACTGCTTAATGAAACAAACATTCATAAAGTCCTAGTAATCTTCTATGAAAATTTGTTGAAGCTCTTGTCTTTACAAAATGTAAATATAACATATATATGTGTATGATAGTCCTATTATCACAATAAGTTTGAGTAAAATTAAAAAAACTTCTAAAACAAATATCATAGATGTTCGTGTCGTAATAATGGAAAAGTATAACACAAATGAAAATATTGAGTTCACCTCTGTGACAATTTTTAGATTGATAACTAGACAAAAATCATTCCATGATCATTTTTAAATCACTTCTTATCTATTAAAAATAAAAATCTGCAGCTTCAGTTATAGCCTTTTCATCCGAGTAAGACTTTTGATACAAGGAATGGATGATATCAAATCAGAATCAGAACTTATGATTCTTTGTTATTAAAAGAAGATGAAAACTAGATATTATCATTCAAAATGACTAA